TTTATATACTGAGTACTTTTTTAAAATTGCACACGTCCATTGATTTTTTAGATGTGACACGTGCATTGAGCATTTTTTTAGACAATGAAAATGCGCAGCAAAAATGCCATTTATCATAATTTTATCACCATTCTTTATTTACAGGCAGATCAATTAACGAGGGCATGCGCGTACGTAAGTATTAATAATTTATTAAGAAAAAGCAAAAATGTCTTACTTTAGCTGAGCCTTGGATGCTTTGTTTTGGTAAGAGTTTTACGGCGCTCGCAACTGCGTGAGGCCATAACACAATATGAGCGCATGGGACACAAGTTGGCTGTTTTCACAGTAAGCATTTTCAGTTTGGGTAGGAATAGATTTTTAATTTTGCTCGGGCGGCGGTCGAAGTCTACTCTTACCGATTTTACGACCATCAAGATATTATCTTTAACGCGCGCAATTTGCACACAAAACCTCAAAGATTTTTTCGAACTGATCCGAAAAGGCTTGGTGTATGATCTTACCTGTCCTGTACCTATCATAAGATCAGGGGTGTGGCTGAAAGACAGTAGTAAGAAGGAGCCAGGAGTAGCAGCAGAAAATGTCATGAGCCAAGAAGAAGGAGGAAGCAGAAAGTGGAAATGAATGCAAATGAAAGAACACGACTAGAGAGCACGGACGGATGTGAAAGGAGAACATTTTCAGTGAAAAACATTTTTAAACGCTGTCAGGTTTCGAACCCAAGACTTATTGAATGAGAGGCCAACACCGTACCTCTAGACCACAAGAGACCCCAGACATTTCATTTCCTGAAACCTGTATCGTGGCCGAACGACAACTTGGCAATATTGTAGGCAAAAGCGTCATAGTTATTGAGTGAGTAACTTTTCATTCCGTTTACTTTGAGCCTTGAGATTTTAAATGTAGTGTAATGGCAACCTTTGTTTGTCTTTCCAAGAAAAGTTTTTCTCAACATTATAGGTTGAAATAAAAGGGCATTTCTCTCCGGCAAGGGAGACTCTTTTCTGGGCATCCATTTATCGAAGTTGAAAAAAAAAGACATCATATTATATTTACTATACAGTTGTGGAACATACTTCACCATAGAATTTATAGAATTTATTTCATTTTTCTTTGGTTCAAACAAGCAAGCAAACACCTTTGAACACACATTAGGCTAATTATATGACTTAAATATATTATTCTTTTCATATTTCTAAAATAAAACTATCACAAGGATCGAATGCTTGTACGATGGCCTTAGAATAGATCTTTTGCTAGGTAAAAGCACACATGATTTTACTTCAGCTGGCTTTAGGATATTATTTCATTTCATTAAACCAGTACCACGGCCTAATAGAAAAGCAGGCTATATTGTAGATAATTACCTTTTTATTACATTTTCCCCATACCCAACCAGAACAATCAACGAGTGTGCGTGTGTATTTGGGTAGAGATATTTCGCATATAAAATCCCAAACCCAACACCTTCACCACC